CCTCAAAATTGAAATAGCCAGAATGTGGCGACTCGACAATAGTACTTTCAAAAACAGGCGTGATCCCTAAATAACTCCATAATTCAATAAAATCTCTTAGATCTACCCCCTTACATATACCAATCAAAATAGCCAGAATGTGGCGACTGAACTATAGTAATTTCAACAATAGGTGTGATCACCCCTAAACAACTACATAATTCAATAAAATCTCTTAGATCTACCCCTTACACATGCCAAAGTCTCTAAAAATCTGCTATAATTTTTAAATACTTGCCCTACAGTTAGAAAGTTTTTGAATGAAACAGATAATGTTTCGTACACCCACACCCAAAATTGAGATACCTAAGTGGGTTAGCACTTGGCTTCGGCCCGTACCAACCCTCAAACCCGGCCTTGTTGCCGAGCTAAGATAAAGAAACAAAAAATAATAATAAAACTTACCTCAGTCTTTAATGTGCATCTACCATCATATATTCCTCGCAGAATATTAAATGAGTTATTACTCATTTCCCTTCTTCTCTTTAATTTCTTCAATAGAAGGTAATAAATCCATTATTCTTTGCCAAGCATCACTTTGCGTTCCACGATTCTTGATAATTTTGAGTTTCGGATCCCTCAAACATGTTTCTATTTGAAGAATCTCAAGAAAAGCATTACTTTCTCATCAGTCCACACTCCATAGTCATACTACGTACTTTAAAACAAAAACGTGAGATTTGAAGACAAACACGTCATATTAAAAGATAAACACGTGCGATTCAATCGGAATCTCGAAGCATACTGATTTATTGAGAGATTTCGATTAGTATGACCGCTGCACCGCATTAATTTTCGCGTTAATCGCTTTGATGTACCGCCACTTGAACTAACGGCTATCGCCAAACGGCAATCTGACTGCCGTTGTCAAGTGCTATTAACATAGGCTTAAGTTTATTTACTAACATCGCTACGCTTCTATGTTTATTTATTAGTTACTTATTACCGCAGTACAGCTAGTTAGGAATAAAGAGTCAAAAGTCCCGATTGACCTCGTGTGCATCTAAAGTTTTTTGAAATTAAAGGTCCAGAAGCTTAAGTATTTTTGCATTTTTGACAAAAATTATAATTTAAAAAAAATGAGAACTAAAATGAAAACTATGCAATTCAAAAGTAATGTCCATCAAAACCGTATCACTACAGTTCATGGGCTCGGCATACCACCCCACTACCACTAGAGAAATCACGTTTAAAAGCGCCTAGAAGGTACACTACTGAGAAAATGTCTTGATTCTTGATCCATTCTTGGAATCACAATATCTTAGAAAGGGATTTCTAGGAAATAATTACCTATGATAAAATTACCAATTTTAATAACAATTAAACAAGTTGAACATTAAACCAAAATAACTTTTGATGCACATATAGGATCTATGGGAACTTTTGACACTTTATCCCTAATGGTAAGCCCAAGGCTCAAGCTCTATCTTCAGCAATATTTGGTCATATAAAGTATAATTTATAATAAATAGGTTTAGATTCAAAAATAAATAAAAATAGTTATTTTATTACTAAATTCATAATGCCATGACTTAACACACATATACAGAAAAAAATTACGAATAAGCTTTTAAAATTAAATTTAAGATGGAAAATCTCAAACAGGATAAGAACCTCCTTACAAAGATTTATTATACGACTAAGTTTTAGAATGTTGGCAGCGTCATTTATTGATATTACAGAGAAGATAAATGACTATAACTTACAAAAACTAATATATGCAAGTAAACTGGCAGCTACAGAGTGAGTTTTTTATGTTAGCTAAAGTGTCTAGTGTAATATTTGAAGTTACTTCTTTTTAAGTAGGTACCTAAAAATTTATCATGTCAAGGAACCAAGTTATTCTGCCTATCGTAAAGCATTACGACTAAAACTTAAAAAATCATAAAAAGTAAAAAATGCATAAAAATTAAAATATTGAAATAAGGTCATTGAAATAACACGTCAACAAAACAAAATAAAAAAGTACCAAAAAATACTTAACACACCAAATTGGCCCTTCCGTAGTTTTACTCACCAGATGATGCTAGTGTGAACATTTAGTTCTTCGTTAAATAGAGAATTAGCTAGTGTCACACCATTGGAAGTTCAATATTTGATAGCTGCTGTGATTTAACAAAATACCTCTTTTTCTATCTTTGCGCCATCTGGTGAGCGAAAACACGTAAGCCCCGATTGTGGACTGATTTTCAAAGTTATTTTGTTCGAAAGATTACACTCCCGAGGGGTCTCATTTTCACCAGTTCAGGATGTGATGATGGTATACTAGGGAAACTATTTTATTAATTATTTTAATTTAATTTTAAACCACTATAATTATATAAAAGATCTAAGTAGCCCTGATGATGGAGTCAAAAGACAGTCGAGGGAGCTCCTCAACTGTATACAGTACCTACCTTGTATTAATTGGCTTGATTAAAAACCAACCACTAAGAATACAAACAGAAATAAAAAAATAAAAAGCAAAAATAACTACACATGAGAACAAAGAAACAGAACTTAAAAAAAAAATATTTCTTTTACTACAGTAACTTCTGGCAGAATTCGCGATTTTCAATTAGTCTTTTAATAATTGGGATGATGACCGGGTATGAAAATTAAAAATCTAATTAGTCATTAACTTAGGTAATGAAAAAATGACACGCATTTTTTATCTATACTAATATTATAAAGAGGAAAGATTTGTACCTATTTTTGTATATTTGTATGTTTGTAATGAATAGGCTCAAAAAGTACTAGGCTGATTTAAAAAAATCTTTCACCAATAGAATGCTACCTTCTTACAATTTGACATAGGCTACATTTCATTTTGAAAAAAATAAACAATCCCACAATGTCGTATTAGTTAGTGTAATATTAGTTAATAATAATCTATACTAATATTATAAAGAGGAAAGATTTATACATATTTTTGTATGTTTGTAATGAATAGGCTCAAAAAGTACTGGGCCGATTTAAAAAATTCTTTTACCAATAGAATGCTACCTTCTTACAATTTGACATAGGCTACATTTCATTTTGGAAAAAATAAACAATCCCACAATGTCATATTAGTTAGTGTAATATTAGTTAATAAAAATAGAATTTATTTCCGATATTCCAGTTATTACAGTTACGAATACCATTACACATTCTTACATATTTCATTAAATGTTTACTTTATTAATATTAATGAATATTCATAAAGTAAAAAAATTACTGTAATATTAGTTAGTGTCATGTTAGTTTCGTTCGTAAAAAAAGTGCACAAGCCGTGCACTTCTTTTATTATTTTACTAGCTTTTACCCGCGGCTTCGCTCGCGTCACAAAAGGATAAAAAGTAGTCTATATGACATATACCAATACACACAGCGCCATCTATACCAATACTTTTGTTTTCCCTAGGGAATATCGAATTTTTCCAGGTTAAAAGTACTCTTTTATTTAATCTGGACTTCTAACTTTACGTCTTCAAAAATTCAAAGCAATCGTTTTAGTAGTTACGGCGTGAAAGCGGAACAAACAAACAAACTCACTTTCCGATTTATAATATTAGTAAGGATTATTTCCATTTCAAATCATCATACTTATAATCTACTAGCTTTTACCCGCGGGTTCCCTCAGGACCCTCCCTTCCCTCCGTTCCCTCGGGTCACAAAAGGATAAAAAGTGGCTACTTTTTATCCTTATGCGACTATCCATCCGTTCAACTACCTTCAGTTAAAAAATCACGTTAATTAGTAGCTCCGTTCTGCCGTTTAAGACAGGCAAACAAACAAATAGCTATCCGCTCGCGTGGAATTCGGTTATATCGCGCTATTTAGATTTTTCCAATAAGTAGGTAATTCGTTGACTGGTTTTAAATGACATACAACGCCATCTATACCAGTACATACAGCGCCATCTATACCAATATTTTTGTTTTTCCTAGGAAATATCATTTTCCGGGATAAAAAGTACCCTATTATTTAATCCAGACTTCTAACTTTACGTCTGCAAAATTTCAAAGCAATTGGTCACTAGACCAACTTAACTACTAAGTTACGGCGTGAAAGCGGAACAAACAAACAAACTCACTTTCCGATTTATAATATAAGTAAGGAAGTAAGGATAAGGAAGTAAGGATACTAATATTATAAAGAGGAAAGATTTGTACCTATTTTTGTATGTTTGTAATGAATAGGCTCAAAAAGTACTGGGCCGATTTAAAAAATTCTTTCACCAATAGAATGCTACCTTCTTACAATTTGACATAGGCTACATTTCATTTTGAAAAAAAATTAGGGATTCTTGGTAAAATTTGAACAATGTAACCGAAGGTGTAGAAAAATGAAAAATGAGTTTTGAAATGTCTTTCGTCGAATGCGCTGCCGGAACTATTAGCGATAGAACAAAATAACGTACAACAATATTGAAGAACATTATAATGTCTACAAAAAACTCCGCGGTAGCATATGTCCAACTATTGTAGTTATGTCACTACAACAACCCAAATTTCCAAAAATAAATAATTGTCTACCCCGTGCAAAGCCGGGACGGGCTGCTAGTCTTATAAAAAGCGGAAGAGTTTGTTTTTTGTTTGTTTGTTTGTTTGTTTGAACGCGCTAATCTCCGTAACTACAAGTCTGATTTGAATAATTATTTTTGTGTTGGATAGTGCATTTATCGAGGATGACTATATGCTATAAAACATCATGCTACGACCAATAGGAGCTGAGCATAGCGTGTGAAAACGCCGGAAGTAGCTAGTCTTCATTATATAACGTAACAGTATCAATTAAGTTATTAAGAGTTTAACCCTTGTGAGTACCGTCATTATAGACACAATTAAAGAGTAGAGTAGTTGGTTGGCAACCAGGTATACTGATACCTGTTTATTATTAGTACTGACTAATAATAGTTATTTTTCCTTCTGTGTTAACTTTTTGGTTGTTTTAAGTCGGTTTTTTAATTGCAATTATGTATAAAAAAAAACACTTACAGTAAGTGACGACGCTTGGTTGAACTGGCTTAGTAGATCGTGTGTTTGCGCCGGTTCAGAAGACTCCTAGATTGAAACAAGAATATAATTAATAGTTTTCATAACTTACTAACTTAATTATAGACAAATTGTATATTTCTGGTTCCTACCTCTATATATTCGTCCAGGATACGAAACCAATCTGAGCTCACGGCTGACTTCAGCAACAATCGGCCATTGGCATATTCTGCAGACTTCTTCTCAAATATGTACGACTGGTATTCATGTTCACATTCCAACTTCTGCAACTCCTGGCGGTAGAGCTCAGCCCTAAATGTATAATTTGATTGTTTACTAATGTATCTCGTGCAATAGCTTGGTATACAAATATATATTAGCGTATAGCAACTATTTTCTAATTCGAAATAAGCTATCTTTAGTAAACCGTACACTCGTGTTATTATATTGCCGGAATCAGTAAGTACACCAAAGGATTTATTATCATCAAATTATGAAACCCCAGAATCATTATTTCGACATATAGAATCGCTGTGCAGACATCCCATATATCAATGTAATTACTTTATTTTCAAGCTATTATAGTCCACAATTTTAACAAAATACCAAACGATTTTTCCATTTTTTCTTAATCGATGTCAGTGAATGTGGCAAACAAGTAGTAGAAATATAGCCGGGATGTTATATTTTATTGGGCTTAGCAATTTACTTGGCATTTATTCGTTTGGATGAATGTCAATATTCAGTACGCAAATGGGGGTTACTCACGTGTTAAGAAATATTTTGTTTATTACAAACGGTTTTCTTTCTTACTTGTTATATCGCACAGCATATTACTTGAAGCCCGCGTGCTATTTAACCATTAAGCTCTTTATGTTTGCATATTAGTGTTAATCAGTGAACTGGATGTTTAGTTTTCGCGGTCACGAGGTCTCCTTGGATTTTATATAATTTTGCATAATGCAAGCAAAAATTTAAGTGGTAAACAATATTATACATTGCTACAAATTCGCTTCTCCACTATTAAAAATTATAATTCGTAATCAGAATGCGCTTCGCTTTAAAACACTCGCCGATTCATTACCACTCTCATACATCACCGTGTCAAACCGTGTTATTTTTCCGGGATTAACCCGGAAAAATAACACAGCGCTACTATTTCTTAAATAATATCATGCGAACAAGTAATATGAAGAAGAATCTCATCATTGCAAACCTGAGTTCCCGCTGGATACAGTTTTCGCAGTGGCCGTCAACTTTGACGCAGTCCGCTTTCTTGGTTTTGCTTGGTCCGGCTGAGAACAAAATAAATATGCGCCAAGCAAATAACATTAGCTATCCTAGTGCAATTATAAAAAAATGCAATGAACAATGTGTTAGACAGTGAAATATTGTCTGCCTACAGGATTTGCTCTTTCAAACAACGCAATAAATCATACCCCAAACAGAATCATGTCTTAAACCTGGCTGATGGTTACTGAGTAACAAATAAATAATTACTGCACATGATCTAATTTAGTAAGAGTACATTGTGTGTACAAGCTAGCCTGCACATGATTTAATTTTAAATTCAAGGGACAATGCCAATTTGCGTGATAAATAACTAAGCCTGGCCAGGCCTGGCGCACTAGTCAATGTATGTATAAAACTGTACCATGCGGCTCAGCCACTTTGGAGTGACTGCTATACCTGCCACCTGCCTCCTGCCGATTGGCAGGTACCACGTGGCGCGCTAACAAAATAGAATGCCAGGGCCCTCTTTGCTCATTTTAACAAATAAAAATGGTGAAATAAATATACAAGTCCAATTATTGACATTATAGAATTACAAATAAAAATAATACCCTTCTATGAAAAGGATAGTTCTCCCAAATGAAGAGTGGTACCATTATCACCATGGCAACTAGCATGTGTTAATAGATTATTGATTTAGCAAGGCTTTGTGAAACTTAGGCAAAGTTCATAATGGCACGCGCTAAGCGCGCACTTGAAACGTATTATATAGTTATAGTTTAAGATCCGGTATAATATCGACCTTCACCGAGCTGTTTCATGAATAAAAACTACTCGATAGATAATCTAGTTCATTAAACATTCAAATAATTAGGTTTGTTTGATAAAATTTTGACCAGGCAAATTAATTTACAGCAACGGTAAGTACACAGGTTATATGTTATGCGAGCGGAGGGTTGCCTCTTCTTTTCATGGTATAAAGAGTAGTTGCTGGTTTATACGGGTGTTTAGCTCTCACTAACTTTTACCTATTTGTTTAATGTACTAACTGAACATAAAATAAGTGATGTTTGATTATGAATACAATGATACTAGGTTACCCGTAGGTTTGTCTTGAATGATAGATGTAAAATTTTTAAAAATTAAACTATTCCGACTGGTCAAGTATAACAGGGTCCGAGTCTAATATAAACTCTCAGGGCCGATTTTTCCAACGCCAGATAAATTTTAATTGAGAAATAACTTTGAATATTTGTGTGTGTAAGTTAATTATTACAATGTTAAGCTACAGTTAACTACAGCTAACAGTAGTAAACAGTAGTAATAGTAAAAATAATACAGAATGCTTAATATATATTTGAAATAATAGTCAAGGTTTATAAAGTACAATTTTGAAAACTGTACTAAATTAGATGTTGTACGAAATCGTGGCGTGTTATGGATCGACTATATTTTTTAGTTTTTGACTAATTTGTTGCATTTTTAAGACAAAATAATACTCAGATGGAAAGTAATATCCTTTTGTTTACTTGATTGCAATTCGGAATTTTTCACTGAAATTCGTCAACTACTTTTATATAACGGGTATAATTGGCAAACCTTTGGCACCGGGGAACTCCTGGCAATTGCTGCTCTTGTTAGTTGGTTTACTTCAAGTACAAACTCAACGATGAAATTAAAAAAGCCTAGTCAACATTTCACCAGGCAACCCATTTTTTAATAATGTTTAATGAAATTTTTATATCAAATTACTAATAATAATAATATAATAATTACTTATCGAGTAGTTTTTATTCAAGGACTTTTAAAAAAAATGGTGGACGTAATGTCACTTAGAAATGATTGAGGACCCAAAATGTCAGTGGTTAATTTATGTGTGCGTGTTACCAGGTTACCCGACAAAAGGATATTATCTTTTTTTTTTAATAATTTGTTTTTTTATTTTTAGGTTCTATTGGCTTTTATTTTTTATGTGCTGCTTTTTACCATGAATATAGGAATTTAAGGAGGTTTAATTCAACTTATTCAACCGTGGCACTAAATTCAAACATAAGGAAGGTAGTTTTGTATTGTTATAATAATTATGATATACGCAAATAGAAATATGTTTGTTTTTATAAACATTTGCATTATTTAATTTTATTAATATGGCAAATTTTATTACTATATTTGTAATTATCAGATCATGCAAACTTGTTTCTAAAAATTATCTTTTTTATCCAATATTCAACGATTCTTCATGCATTATTTGCTGCGGAAAGTCAATCAAATAAAATAATAGTATAAATTATATGTATACAGGATACAACAATTATATGTATACAGGATACAACAAACCATATGACTTGGATTTTTTTATATATTTTTCTGATAACCGTTAGAAGCTTGCCTGGTGCCATTTGATCGTCGACTTCAGGGACACTTTGTATCCCTACTACAAAACATTTACCCAAATTCAGGGTAAATGATAATATGTAAATAACTTGCAACAACATAATGTATGAAGTGTATTGACAGGCAATGTCAAGCGACTGAAGTGATTTGTGTCAATGTTTGTAGTAGCCTATAGTAGCTAGGCGTCACAGTCGTTGTTTCAAGAGACTCTGTCCGCCTTTTTTTCAATGTCCTTGTTCTTATTCATGAACCAGTGTAGTGAAGGTACATGTTTTACGTATCCTTTACTGTTAAGGTCTCATCGCACACCTAACAATCACGAATCTGGCACGGCTCCAACCCAGCATTAACTTGTTATTTAAATATGAAATTTAAATCGTTTATCGTATGTTATATGGTAGTCAGCGCGTGGTCCTCTCGAAATGTAGTTGAGGCGCCGGCAAACCAGGTTGGTATTTGTAAACCGCGCACGTAAGTCCAAGGCGTATCCGATCTTCAATCGTAAATGCCAAGTATTGTTGACTATATTCCTGATGACAAAATGGTTCCACCTCGCGGCCGGCGCGCCGACCGCGTGCTTACAACTCGCGGGCGATGCGCCGTGAGCGCGCTAGCATAGTATAAAGAACAAAGTAGGTTATCTTCATACAAATGCTCCGCGCGCGGCTTATATGTGTGCGCCATAGTATCTATGAGTCGACGCACGCACACTTTAACAAAATCTCGACCCGTTTCTCAGTGCGCCAGGCAGGGCTAACACTGCACGAGGTTCGCGCGCGCATCACTTTTCGGCACTGTTAAATGAAATAAAAAATGTCTGATACCTAACCGTAGAAGAACGTATTGCTGTGTGTTTGAGTGTCTTAATAATTAATCGATTCCAGAACTGTATCTGTTCAGATTAAGTACCTATTGAACAGGAAAGGTAAGCTAGTCACTTTTTTTAGCATAATATAATTTGTAGGTACTTGATGATGAGATACCTACTTACTTATTCTTACTCTTATCATTCTTCATAGTTCCTACTCAACCAGAAAGAAGAATTACCTACTAACTACTATACTTAAATATTATAAGAAAATGTGGTATTGTATTGTTTATTTCAGTTTATCTGATTTGTTAAGAGCGTGGCCGTGTCGCATTTTTCCATATAAATGTATTCCAAAATTTACTTTCTGAATACTATGTATAGAGCTAAAGTTTATTTTAAGAAGTTAATAATCTTTTTATAAGCTTTTTATTTTTACTAAATTTATAAATTGATAAAATATTCAATCATAATATGCTTTTCATTTCATAAATTTAGATCAAGTGCTGCTTGTTCGAAAATATTAACAAAAAGTAAAAGTGACAACCCTGGGGATCAACGCAAGAGTAGGCTAATAACTCGGCGGGCGGCCATAGATAACCTACTGTGTTCTTTATACTATGGCGCTAGCGGCTAGCGGTAGGCAAATTCGAAACAACTACGTGCAGGAGCCGTACGGGACACGTGTTCGTCATGTGTGCGATGAACTCTACGCCATTTATAATTTAAGAGCGGCTAAATTGATTTGTTTGAAAATTAGTGGGGAGGTAGCTTAGAACCTCGAGACGGACATAGAATACTTTTCATCCAAAGATTTCCAGATCTTACGGAAACGGGAAAAAACTGCACTACGCTTACGAAATTGCAGGCAGAAACTAGTTAATTACATATTTTGATATTGAAAATAAGTAACAAATAAATAGTGCTTATTATTGTTAAAATAAATGTATGTTGCTTTGGGTCTACAATCAATTGATTTTTGAACCTAAGTAGATTATTTTAGCTTATTTCTGAGGTATTTGAGAAGTAATGTCACAAGTAAAGACCAACATTGAAGAATAATGGTTGCATTTTTGGAAGTCAACTAAACCAATATTGCGGAATGTATGTCATTAAATGAATGTGATACACATAAATGATTGTGACATGTCAAGTGATGATATAATACTTATAAAAATGAGTGGAAAGGTAGACGTTGTTTGTTACATCTAATAACTTAGAATTACATAATTAGTAACGTACCACGCAAGAATGTCTCAATTGATTAAACAAACAGAAGTCATATTGGAACCATATTCAAGCTTTTCCACAAAATGTATTGCTAAATATTCGCGCATGCTATTCTTTTTTGATCTATCCTTTAATTAATATTATTTTCACTACGCTGAGCATCAATTAAAAAAATAAGAACAAGAAACTGCTGTGTTATAATAGATACAGGGTGTAAGACATTTCATAACATAATGTAATCTTTGTTCTGCTATATGTATAAGCACTCTTTCTTTATTAAGTTTAACTGGTTTGTGCTGTGATGTTTCTGTGACCACTTGAAAAAAATCCTGTACTTTAATAGTACAGGATATATATTGTCACACATACATACAAACATAAAATCGAATAAAAAACTAACCAATATATCTTAGCTTTTTCTAAAACTACTAAATTTGTACAAAATACTAAAGATTTTCTTAAGTGAAGGTATGTTGTACTGTTGAAGGAAAAAGTCTATTCTCCTTGAGTATGTATCAGTTCTTTGTAATCTTCTAATATAAATGTAACACTACTGTAAAATATTATTTTAATGATAATTACCCTCATCAGAAAGCTCGGCAGATCGTTTGATGGCGCCATTTTTATTAGAAGTTGCATTAGTTGGCAATGGCGGAGGAGGTCTACTGGCGTCGAAACTGCAATAAAAATAAAATAAGTTTAAAAAGGAGATAATAAAGGGTGTACAGCGGAACTTTTTCTAATTTAAACTTACGTTACTAATTTTTTGGCTCGTTACTAATTTTAAAAATTATAATTTACATCTCTTCTTTAATTTTAAAAGTAAGATAATTTTTTTTTTATTGAAGTTCAACATCTTAAAATTCCTGGTGTACCCTCTTCTTTTGAGATTACCTACACCTATAACTTTTACATGTAAATGAATTATTAATACTGGTCAGGAGCATCGCCATAAATATTTGATGACAAAAAACAAAGAAAGACTTACATATGTGGCAGTGGTGGTGGTGGCTGAGTAGTCGTAAACATTGCAGGACTGGTAAAGGAAGGTGGAGCTGTGAAGTAAAATTTAATGTTTTAGTCAAATTTAACTAACATAACATAACGATCACGCCTTTTTATCAGAGGCAGTAGGCAGAGGTGCACATTATACGGCAATTAATACTACTGTACAATATAACAGCCACTTTTCACTAATTATGTTATGAGTCCCATGTAATAGGGGGTAAGGCTATTGCCATATACCGGACACAATTTCATATTCATATCTTTATTTGCATTCCATAATGTTTCATAAGATGTTACATTAAAGCTAGGACACAATTATGGACCCCGTCAGGCAAAGCAAAATACAAAAAATAAATTTCAGAATTAAATTCAATTAATAACATATAACCATTTTAAATAATTATTAAAATAAATAGGTATAAGTAATAAAATTATGTCAAATTGATGATGCATCAAGTCAGCAATTTTTCAAACAAATAAAACAACAAAATCCAAAATCATCATGTCACATGTAGCATCCACTAAACAATTATTAAAATAAATAAGTCAATCATTTCATTACAATTAAATAATGTCACATGTTATATCAAGTCATACCAATATTTAAGGTCGATAAAAAGGTTTAGAAAATTTACAAATAAAGTCATTTATTTCCTTCTACCCGCCCCATTATTGGGAGACAGGCATGTCAGTGTGTATTAATGTTTTTATTTTTCATGTGTCATCTAACTGATACTGTTTTGTGTGACCTCCATATGTAATGAGTTTATTGAATTTTACTAATCACACTTTATAAATTGATTCAAATCATGGTTTAATCAATTTTAAAATCTATTTTGTCATACAAAATTCAAATTTATATAATATCATATCCGATTCATTATCACCGCGCGCAACCCATCAATGTTACGCGAGCAACACCGCGTAAAAGCCAAATTTAACAGGATATCATAAGGTTTTGGGTAGTGAAAAAAAATAGCTTGCACTCTAACAAAGGTTTCTGTGATATTATCATAATCATCATGTCAGCCGCAAAGCTCTAGAAAAGCCTGATATCGCTGCCTGGAGGGCTCGCTACCTGCGACGAATGAAAGAGTATAACGACCTCGGATCGGACAAAAAACCGGTGACGTATACAGATGAAACCTGGATACATTCTCACTACACAGTGACAAAATGCTGGCAGAATAGTAGCGACGCTATAATAAAGAAAAATAGCAATCCCGGCCAACGTTGGATTCTCGTTCATGCGGGTGGCGAATATGGTTTTATCCCCGGGGCCGAGTTATTATATAAATGTTAAAGTAAGACAGGCCATTACCACGACGAGATGGACACAAAAAATTTAATTCAGTGGCTCAATGAAAAGTTGTTGCCAAACTTGCCTCCAAACGGCATAGTTGTATTGTAATAGATAATGCGCCGTATAACTCAACACAAGCCGAAAAAATACCTTGCCAGTCATCACTCAAAAGTGAGATGCAAATCTGGCTTACCAAAAATAATATAAGTTTTGATGAAAAGATGACAAAGCCAGAATTATAGCACATCATAAAATTAAATAAGCCAGAAAAAACACATGTGGTAGACGAACTGTTGAGGGAGCATGGCCATGAGGTAGTACGTCTGCCACCCTACCACTGTGATCTAAATCCAAGAAGAATACATCTGGAATTTAGTTAAACAAAGGGTGGCAGACAGAAATATAGATCAGTTTGAAAGACTTATTGAAAAGTTGACTAGAGAAGCAATCCAGTCAATTTCAATTGCGGACTGGAAAAAAGAAGTTAATCATGTCCAGAGACTGGAGGAAGAGTACTAAGTGAAAGATCGGCTTCAAGAACACCGAGAAAGGGAATTCATTATTTTTCTTGGAGAAGAAGAGACTTCTTCTGAAAGCGATAATAATATGTCTAGTATAGAAGAATTGAGTGATGATTCGTTATAATTTTAATAATAAATGAATAATACATCCTTTATTGTTTTATTTCTGTAAGAAATTAATTGTTCTACCTACTTCTTACTTTAACAAGAACGAATTTAAAAAAAAAAATATTAATACGAATATTGGTAAGTTACTGCTCAAAATGATAAAGAAGCCAAAAATACTACATTCGTAATTACTACTTGTTTTATCTCAGTAGGTAATAAATTATAAATCAGTATGTACAAAAAGTACATTTTTTTGCACTATAGACAAATGTCATTTGAGCCAGGTGTCTAGTTATTGTGGCCAGGTTGTACATGATTATGTTTCTAAGGTTGGCGAGCTGCTCTTGAGCATCTCATGAACAGACCGAGTGGTAGCGTGTGAAATATAACTAAAGTTTGAAATGTAGGGTAAACATAAACAGGTAAAAAATCTCTTTCAATAACTAAGAAAAGTACCTAAACTAAAAAGTATACCTAATTCAGAGCATGCTAGTATTTTGATACCCTTAACTCGTCGAGTACCGTATTTATAGACACAATTAAAGAACAATAGGTTGCGGTCACCGGTGGCTGCTTGGTGTTTGACAGTTTAATAAAAATCAGAAGGTACCTGAAAATAGGGGTGGTGTCGTCTGAACAGGTGTAACAGCTGTCGTTGGCGGCGGCGGAGGTGGTGGAGGCGGTGGTGGTGCCAATAACGTAGATGCTGGAAGAGGTGGTAACGCTGAACTTGGCAGCGGCGGTGGCGGTGGAGGCGGCGGAGGTGGCGGTGGTGGTTGAGCTAAATACTCGTTCACATACATGCTCATCGGTGCGTTGGACATCGCTGCATATCTTTCCGCCAGGGCTCTAGGTATTTGGCCTGTGGTTAGAAATAGGTTTTCTTCTTCTCTACTCGCATGCAAATATGTGCAATCTGGTCTATTACAGCCTGTTTTGTTCTGGTAATCGTGACAAAATCTCAAAATTTCTTTCATATACTCTACATCTAACTCATGTCGAAATTTACACTGTGCACCTTTAGTGCATATGCCCCAAACAAAGTCACGACATTTCCTAAACTGACTTTGTTGATCTGAAGTTTGTCGGTTTGATGTCTGTGTCTGTGGCGGTAAAGGAGGCTGGCGGCCATTTTGTTCGTTGTTGTTAGTCATGAACTGAAAAATTAAAATAAGTAGGTAATAAAGCACGTGCGATATGCAATAATTAAGGAAACAATAAATATAATGTTATTACAAACCGTAATCGCTCCAATTTCCGTAAAATTTGATGAAAAAATATAATAACTATGTACACCACCACTTGCAGTTCTACAAAAAGTTTATCTCATTGTTCCCGATTCTGTATTTTTTTAAGAATCTAAAGGTTGCCAATGTGCCTTTAGATATCAATGATCACATCACCACCGTCTACATTCACATTTAGTTCTAAATTCAGAGTAAAAGTGCCCACGCACCGCCGCCACACTGGTTGACTGTATATATTGTATAGTCTATGGGTTGACTGTAAATAAATAGACTTCTGACTTCCCTTCTAGACTTACCTACTCTTTGAAATAGACCAAAGAGTATAGGAGTAGACAATAGATTTGTCCCACACTCAACTACGTTTATACTGTTTGCAACACTGACATGTGCCTACAAAGTTATTGTTCCGAGGCCTACAACCACCCAGTTGTTTTGTACCAGAAACGTATGTCACTGTACGTTCCCTTGTGATTTGTAATGGCGGATCCAACTAGGAATGTGACTTTAATATGTTTCAAAGACTACCTACTTGTAGAAGAAGCAAACCAAACATCACCAATAATTTGTGAAGCCAAAAAACACTCATGCGAAAAATAGCTTAAACGGAACTGGAATAAGAAAGTCAGCATTAGAAATAAAGGACATTATTAGGTACCTACATAAAAAGAGGGATAAGCGTGTGTTTAGATTAAATAGTCAATATTTGTAAATACTCAATAAATGTCCATTTTATGTAGGTACAGCTCGATGTATAACCGTGTGTACAATCGACCATGAAAAAAACATACATTATCTAAATTGAGACCAAAAATAGTCAATGCTTGGCCCTGTGATTTGTTAATCGTCATGGCAAAGGCAAGACGAATCAGGAATTGAATTCGTTTAAATTAAAAGGGCATATCCGTTATAATCATCGGAATCCTTGGAATAAGAACTTCCTCATCTATCAAAAGTTTAGATCATAGACTTTGGTTATTGCACTGTTTATCCTTTATATGTATATATATATATTTAAAGGATATCCTTCGTATATGTATATATATATATATATTTGGTTTATATATTATTAGTTTAACCTTTAGAAATTCTAAATTTGTCCTCTGTTCATTCTGCAAGTACTTGATCTGTCATGAGTCGAAATATTAAGTCGATTTCATTTGTTTATTATTTTTGTTTATAGTATTAAAGTAAGTAAAATTCTGAGTGAATGGCCCGATAGTTGATAAGACTTCGTTATAACTTATAAACGATTAAACATCATCAAAACACTTATTTCAAAAAATATACAATTTGTTTTAGTCTACAACAACGTAATAAAAACCTACCGATGAAAAATTATTCCAGGTATTTCCTTAGAGCCATTGCTGACACATCGGCACGCGCTGCACGTTACCATTTTTATTTTATATTTTTTAAGCGTTGTTAAATGGCATAAACAATCAATATTTTCTTATAAAATGAGATTGACACAGTTGTAGGTAAAAGCTTATCAATATGGCGGCACGGAAAAACTGGCTTCATGTCAAAATTTGTCTATGCATGGAGCAGTGTGCCTACAGGTAATAGAACTGTCGCCATTATGAGGTAGGTGCTTGAGTGCTTGACAGAATAAAGACAAACTGATCGATATTTGATCTATATAATTATATATTTATATATATGCATAACTAGGAATTCATATCAGTCTGCTTATCTATTGTAAATGTGTATAACGATTGAACCACGCAGAAGTAAACATAAAAAATAAACATTTTTGTAGTACTTTTTCAAGTAAAATTTTTTTCGTGTCGATTTTGTGATCTAGGAACAAATCAGCTTGTATATTGTAACTCCATGAATGTCTTAATTGTTTAATATTTATAATAATTTAATTATTTTTTTCTTTTCTCTTTCCCTATGTTATCAATACCCGAATACTTAAATCCCAAATAACCCGGTCAATTTAGACATTTATCCTTGCATTAATTAATTCCCTTTTGAAAACTTGTTAACATATGAGAGAGAATTTGACGAACTTTGACATATTGGACCATGGTTATGATACCTTCCAATCAGAAGTAGTTTTATTTATGGCGGACGTGCGTTCACCGCCCGTAGATGTCACGAACTTACAGCTGAACCTAACAAAATATGTAGCTATTACCCGCGACTTCGTCCTCGTATAATAATGATGTCGTCGACTGAAATTGTCGTTTTACCGAATTCAAATCAAAAAGATTCAATTATTCTAGACTCATAAGATTCAATAGTTAAGAAGATTTAAACAAACTCTCATCCCCTATTTTAGCCCTATCGGGTGGAAAAAAATCTTTTCTCAAGGGATGCCTACGTCACTTACATAGGTACCGAATTACAACCCGTTTAAAACTGACAAAGCTTCATACAATCCTCTATTTTACCCCCTTGGGGATAGAATTCAACAAAATCCTTTCTTGTAAGCTTTTAACCCGGTAAAAATAGTAGCCTATTTTTACCGGGTTAGTTTATTGTGTTAATATTCATGTTAGGTATTTTCGATCTCACTTTTGTTACATTTAATTTTAATTTTCTCATATTTCGCTCTCTCGATTATTGTCCTTACCTTAGTTCTTAGTCTTGAAGTTATTACTGTCATTTTAAGTCATCCCTTAAATTACTGTATTAATAACATGGCCGGAGACAGTAGTCAAAATGTTATCGGTAATTAATTCATGTTTACTCCTAGTGTAAAATAATGCACTTGTATCAATATTACTCGCACTGTAGGGGTTGCTATGTGAACGATTGTGGCGCCCTCATTCAGGTATTATGTGATATGGGATGATTTGTTATTAGAGCATAATCTCGTGTGAGTTCGTGGCACAGACGTATGGAACAGACCATTTTCGAATTTTTTGAAAATGGATAGGTAGTAATTATAATATTTAACTTTCAGTGTTTACTTTAAAATGACGCACACGGCAAAACTGAAAAAATAAAAAAGAAACGCGCTTTACGTAATTTTTTGTGCAGGGCTGCAGTCACCAAGGTACACAAGGACATTGAAAAATATAACATATAACTTGTCCGATTACTCTACGCTTATAGCTTGGTATCAACTTGGTATATATCATACAGTATCCTATTTATTAAATGTACATGCTTTATTCTACGATCCTAATGTCTAATGATGATAATGATGATATGATGATAATGGAATGGATGATAAATTGAGAACTACTATTTTCTACCTACTAATAAAAGTTTAGTTTAGTTTTATCTGGATTTTTTTTTTCAAGATCAAAGGTCCTAAAATATCTTTTTGAATTAATTTTTCAGCAAAACAGTTAGCTCAAAGAGTATTTTTTTGTAAAGTATTTTGTTTTAAGGGGGAAAATCATCTAATGACTGCTCCCGCCTGGGTGAGGCGGGAGGGAGTGTCAGACTCTTACTGGCTAAAAACTACCCCGTTCCTTCCCCTGCACGTCGAGCCGAAGCCCCGGTTACCAGTTAGGTTCTCCGAGGGGGGTTAGCTTTATGATAAAATATGTCAAACGAAAATTGTAGATCATAAATTTGTAATAATTGTCTTTACCTTATTACTTTTATTATTAAAATTAAAATTATAAAATTCAAATCTATGGTACAGCTTGTGCTAGTGCCTATTTGCTAGTATCCAGTTAATAAAAAGTTAAGGTTGGGCATGATAAAAAAAAATAACTAAAACGAGACTGCTCGGAACAATAACTAAAGCATGGAAGCCAGGCTAAAATAGCAATTTACAAACGTATATCTGATGCTCTCGCTCTTTACACGATTTTGCGTAGGCGAGAATGAGACCGCAAACTGAACATAGTTCTGATAATTTGCAGGTTGTCACAACTTTCAGTGGACTCATTACAATCTTATGTCATTGGACTCATTCAGCATACTACCAAATTCAAAATCACGTTTTGACGTTCTATGTTTCACAGTTTCACTCAAGTTTGACACCTTCCTCACTTTGCCGGATTATAGTACTGAAGTGTCACCGTGGTTGTATTTACGGCTCCTTATAATAAAAAATATTTTCTAAGGAATTAGCGCAAAAGAAAGGAAGAAAGAAAGTGTATGGTCGTTCTGTATTATGTGTTTTACTTAATAAAAATACTTCTTGTGTGATTGACGGCTGCAATTCACATTTAGGAAGAAAAGAAAACAGTGGTGAAAAAATTAACTTTCATTCGTATATTTTTGATATGTTTTAAAATAAATTATATTGGAAATACCGGTAAACTATAAATAAATGTTACTTATTTATTGTCGTACTTTTCAATTGTAAGCCTAAACAGTATTATTCCATCTTTTTCTAAAAAATCTAAATCAATTTTCTAAGTTAGTTTTTAAGCTAGTGATGTGGTCATGTTACATATCGATATTTTAGTTAGGCTTTGAAGTTCTTTATAGTATAGACGTCGTTTAGAGCCCGAGTCACATGATACTTTTGATGATTTGACAGAACACGACTACATTTTGTACCCATCATCTATTACGGAATATTCTAAGAATGTCATAGAATACATAATCGGCTTTATCGGAACGAAATTAAAAAAAAATTACAATGCGAAAAATGCCTAGAAATACGGAGAGTATTCCTTAAAGATCTTTGATATCTTTAAATATAGAGGAGGCCTATTTAAACCAACATATGGCTTAACCAAGATCTGTCAACTGTCCGAAAAAATTATAAGAGAATATCAAGTGCATATTGATTCAAAATCTCTCGGTAAACCAAAATAATTATTAGATTGATTAATAAAGTTTCAGCAAATGTGTTGCCGTCAAAAAATTTACGTGAAAAAAAAGATTATTCATTAGAACAATCTTTCTATGATGATCACAGAAATCTTATAAAGTCCATAGCACAAAAATATTTTAAACTTAGGACACATTATGTAACTAAAAATTTGACTGTACCTACCGAAAAAATTCGCACATATTTAACAAAGACAATTAATTATATTTAAAAGTCAATGATAAACACATAATAGTACACCACTACCACGGTTTGTAAATATGCTTTGTTTGTGAGCAATTAAATTATCTTTTTAATATTGTGTTTTATTTCTGAACCCACGACATCCAGATTAAGAACCTAATGTACGTTAAATCACAGCAGCAATACTTTCAGGTACCATAATTTGTCGATAAAATATATTAATTTATTCCCATCACTAGCATATTTACAAGTAGTGACAACCTGCATAATAACGAAACGAAACAATACACTTGTCTCTTTCTTATACACTATCAATACCATAAGTAAAAAAAAGATGAATATATGGATTGTAGTTGTTATTTTAGCCTGGCTTCCATGCTTTAGTTATTGTTCCGAGCGAGACTGCAATGCAATGTAGTGTTTTCTTAATTTTTTATGAAAATACTAAATCTTACGTCCATTTTTTGTTCATGATAATTATCCCAAATAAGTGTTTGGGTTATGGAGTCACCGCCTTTTTCAACACATTCTGAGGCACCTCCTTTAAGTGAAGATAGTGGTCTTATAATTACAAGTGGATCGTTTTCTAGTGATTCTGCCAGTGGATGGCATCACGTCGCATCCGAGGTGAGCTATTAATTAGAAATTTTCTTGACACTGCTATTTCATAATATATAAAGTGGTAATTCTTTTAATTTCTATAATATTTGCCACTTTTTTTAATCATGTGCTGAGAAAGATGTAAACACAATAGTTACGTACCTATCTAAGACCTTCAAGCCATAGAAACCAAAACAAGGATAATTGGAATGTAAAACGAACTATAGTGGCTGCAAATTATAATATCATTATTCTGTAATGAGTCATGTTTTACTATTGTTCTTCAGTGTCATCTTGTGCTTTGCTCGTTGCGATTTTTTGTCTTAAATCTATGTGTCTATTACTGTATCATGATATTGTTTAATGTCACATTTTTCTGCCCATTTTGATGCCCTTTTGTGTATAGTTCTTTGCATTGGTTGCCACAGCTGTTTGATATGAATTTACTTGGATGTTAACACTTTCACTGTCTATGCATAACATGTAATGCACTTATGAGTTCGCCCATATGTCCATGCATGACATACAATACACTATTAACCACCAAGAATAGTGTTGTTCATAAGAAACTTGAAAATTCACTATAATAAAGAAAATATTGACTCTGTAGAAAAAAATACAGTACCTAGATTGCCATATCTAATCTGTAAAAAAAAGTAAATCTTGGTATATTTTATTTTAATCAAACAAAAATGAAAAATGGTTTCTCTAACTAAAATTAAACTTAAATACATATTTACTATAATTCTTTTTATTTCTTTGGGGGTCTAAGCTAATAAACTTTTCTTGAGACAATAAAGTCACCTCCGCAACAACTGTATTTTTAGAATTCATATTTACCAGAAAACATTATACATTGATCGTGTTTCCACATGCTTGGACAATATTTTACACAGTTCACACGCTATTGGTCCATGACGGTTGAATTTCATCCATTGCTCATGAATTGTATACAGGGTGTTACTAAAGTCGATGATCAAGTGACACCAGGTGATTAGCAAGGTTCCAATAATTATCAGAAAAATATAGCAAAAAATACAGTTTTTAAATTACAATGACTTATGTATTATTCATAACAAAAGTACTCCCTGTGCCAGTCTTTAGACTCTTGTTGCTACAATTATTAAATTTTTCGTCTGTATTTTTGCTTACGTTATCCTGAATAGTGCTTCAGTATTATAGAATCATACATTACGGGTTGACCTCCAAAATCCCTGAAAAAATTGTTTCGGTCCATGTGCCAGACACTCTGTGTAGTTTTTTTGTATTCAGTGTACTCAAAACTTATGTTGACTTACCACAGAAAGAAATGATAGTAATTGTTTGTGTTAAATGTAACAGTAACTGTAACAATCTATATATATATATAAAAATGAAACCCGTTTCCCGTTGACACGCCATAACTTGAGAACGGCTGGACCGATTTGGCTGATTTCTTTTTGTTGCATTTGTTATTGTCAGGAGAAAGTTCTTATGATAGAGAAAAAATCCTGAAAATCTTATGGGAGAAAACGGAATTGCGCGTACGAAGTTGCGGGCAGAAGATGGGGCAGAGGGCGTCCACAGAGGACCTCCATCTTTATCGGTCTTGAGCTTCACGCTTCTGCTTGCTTCACATGATTTCGATACTCGCCGCTTCCGCCACCACAGTGCACCACCAGGTTTGCCGAAGACGGTAACGCTTCCTTTTCCCCTGGGAATTCCAGACCAAGGCTGGTTTACGAATGTGTCAGAATCCCCATTCCATACCGCGGCGCCGTTTGTCTGTAATGCGAAGCATAAATCCGTCCAGGACAACCAGGAAAATGAGTGATGACAGAAGGTAGCCTTGGTGGACACCTGCGTGCATTGTTATACAGTTTCATGACCAATTTCCTCTCAGTCGAAAATACACAAAATACTTCACTGGGTCCTATAATGAAATGCTATGTTTGTCAACTAGTAGCGGCAGTCGTCAAAACAAGTTAAAATAGCATAACATTTCGTAGAAAGATATGGTCATCCGGTCACAAAGTGATGGATTGTACTTCGAAAGATCACACCAATGTGAAAAAAACTGTGAGTTAATCTGGCGTATATCACTTCATAACCAGACGACGATTTTCTTTCTTCAAAAAATTATGCTAACTATAAAGTAGTTTCCAATCAGGAGTAAACGGCTGAAAATAGTACTTTGTTAGAGGTTTGGGCGGCTGCCATTTCTCAATCCACCACTGGTGCCGCAGCTGACGCTGACGAAGCTTCAACATTCCTTTACGAATCCCACAAGTTATAGACTGAGAGAAAATAACTGATAAAAATTAGTGCCTGGCATACCATCCATATGGTGGCCATATGTAGGCGTACAGTGGCGCACAAATTGAAGACAGAAATTGTAAGAAAAACATGAATAATATGAATAAAAAATGCTATATTAAATCTCTCTTGCTGGTCCTTTAACCTCTCATAACTCAGTCCGAACGAAAATTTCCATATATAAGCCCATAGACAATTTCGTTTGTGTCATGACATAGACAATGTTATCCTAGACAATATATTTCATAAATTATCGACTGCCGCCAGAAAAAAGAAAGGTATCAGTTTTAGGCAGTGCCCTTTAACACAAACTAATATTATGACTTCTTGCTGTGGTACAACTCGGCATTAAGCTATGACTTCTTTCTGTGGTTCAATTCAACATTAGTGCAAGCTACTGCCGAGAACCTCAAACGGCGAAAGTATGATAGCCTGATTGGCAATTATGCTTTCGAACCGTTTGGGGTTGAGACTTTAGGGCCGTGAGGCCAAGTGCACATCTTCTTTACAAAGATATTGGAAGGAGGATGGTTAACACTTAAGGTGCTCAAAGGGCTGGCTACTACCTTGGACAAAGGTTAAGCATTGCCATTCAACGTAGCAATGCTGCCAGTCTTTTGGGCACCCTACCTCACAATAGCGGTGAGGATTTTTTTTTGATGCCTTATGATAGCATTTTTATTATTTTTTTTAAGGATTTAAAAATTTATTTCATATTTAAAGTTGTAAATATTTTCATTTAGTAATAGTTAATATTAATTTTATTTTTGTCTATTTTACCCTAAATATCAAGCAAAATATATCATTTTTGAATATTTGTTGCACGCTGCCCCTGGCTTAAATAATGGTTAATACGTCTGCGGTAGAGATAAATGTAGGAAGCATATTTGCGTCGAACATTTCCACTGAGTTAAGACACCTAGATCAACAAAATAGAAAACACCGGTGCCCGCGACAAATGTAATGTGTTTTGTTGTCACCATTCAGCAAACACACAATTACTCACGAGCTGATATTTATGGAAATAGACGGAATATATTCCCTAGTTGAGTACCGAACAGAGCAACAAATAAATAGGAACTCGCTAGCCAGTAGACAAAAATTAGCACCTCGTTATACCCATGACAATATTAGCTTCTGAAAAGAAAGTAGCAAAGTCTCGACTCAAACGCGTGCTTAAGAGTCGAAATTGTTACAGTATACTAGTGCCCGATCGTCCACTCAACACTATTGCTCGAGATAAATCTAGACGTAGTGAAAAGGTCTAATATAATAGACATAAAATCTTTACTGGTAATTTAAATTACACGTAAGCATAATAATTGGTTAAAGTTTTAGAAAGAGAGTAAACATTTATTATCGAAGTTGAAATTACATTAGGGTTACTTACTGTTAGACAATAATGTTCCTTAAAATAACCGATTTCGTTTAAAAAGACAATCGTTGTAAGGTATCAATAGGTTTTGCAACCACCTTTAAATATCCTGTATCATTATAACGTAAATAAGAAGTTTGATTTACTACAAGCATTATTTTGACGTACTTAAAGATTTGTATTTTTCCATATAGTTACAAGAAAGCGACTTCGATGACAAATCATTGTCTCTTTGTGAATCAACTGAAACATCAGAACGCATGTGTGGGGATTTTTTTAATACTGTGAAGAAAGGGCCTGGGAAAATAATACTTACAACTATTGAACCACCACCAGAATTTCAGGTATGTTGTAGTGATTGTAGAAGTATTGCAAAACGTCATGCCCCACCAAGTGAGTTAATAGCTTTGTAGTAAATTGGTAATGATTTAGAGCCCAGCATTGTGATTTACATCACAAATCAAATATTGAGTGATGTGAAGGAATCCACTATGTAATGAATTATCCTACACTTTGAATTTGGTTTTGATAAATTAATCACATTATCCGAATATTATTTATAATAGTAGGCCCAAGTTATAAACATAGCTAAAGTAATAAACATATACTATCCAACAACTTAGGCTAAAGACTCGAGAAGCGGTTTTCACCGCACCCGTCGTGGTTGCGCCCGGAACTACGGCGGGCGTGCTGAAATGCCTTTCTAGAATACACCAATACAGATATACAGAGTGTTCCCCAAGTCGACGTTCAAATGGCACCAGGTGATCAACAAAGTTCCACCAGTTATCAGAAATAAATAAAAAATATAAATTTAAATAATTTTTTAAATTACAATGACTTATGTGTTATCCGCGAAAAAGGACGCCTGTGCTAGTCTTTTGACTCTTGTTGCTACAATTCTTTATTGTCTCCTCTGTATTTTTTGCTTACGGAATCCTGAATAGTGGCCCAGTATTATGGAATCATAAATTCTGAGCCAATTGCTTAAGTTTAGAAAAGATTGTAATTTTTAACGAACCAAGTATTCTCAATTATTTAAAAATATCCAGTGGGCCAGGGCCAAATAAATTAGGACTGAGTAAGTAGCAGATGACCCCACCTATCCACCATTTTCGTATGTTCAACGTTCTGCCAAACACCCTGTATATGGAATTAGTTCGTCTGTTCCTTGCAAAGATCCATACATAATATCTAAATGTATGAAATAAAACATCGTTAAAAATTTATATAAGACTAGCTTTTACCCTCGTCTTCGCCCGCGTTCCCAGGGATAAAAAGTAACCTTTGTGTTACTCCAGACCACCCTCTGTTTCAAATTTCATCTGGCTCCCTTCCTGACTGAGTAACGAACATACACACAAACAAACAATCTTACATATTTTCACATTTATAATATCTGTTCAAGCTAATTTCAACCGTCGGCCCTAAGTTCACTGCGGGCAACCTAACATTCGACAAACTTATAGTTGCGTTGCGGTACAGTACCTGTGTCCACGGATTGAGCCTCACAATTAAGTTTGTTTTTTTGTGTGTGTACTTTTTCGAGATAAAAGTGCCCTGTGTTGTGACCAGCAGCTGTAGCCAAATACCACTTAGCGCTTGTCTACATGTAGAATAGAAAACTAAAATAAATGGAATTGACGTAAATTTTGACACTTGTCCGTGTCATCCCCATACATTTTGATTTCTACTCTCTCTGTAGACAAGCGCTAAAGTGGCATTTGGCTAAAGGCCCAGGATATTAAAGTATAATCATACCAAGTTTCATCGTAATCGGACCGACAGTTTTTGCGTGATGCGTGAACATACAGACAGACAGACAGACAAACATTTTTTAACCTCAGTTTTGTGTTCGGTTTCTATCTAGTAACAGACAATTTTTTTTTATACACTTCCGAAAATCATCGAATGACTGCTCCCGCCTGGGTGAGGCGGAAGGGAGTGTCAGACTTTTACTGACTAAAAACCACCCCGTTCCTTCTCCTGCACGTCGAGCCGGAGCCCCGGTTACCCGTTAGGTTCTCCGCGACTCCGAATCGGCATCGGCCCTTTGGGCCCCATCTGTGGTGGTCTGATGGCTCTTTGAGGCGCGCGCGGAACGCGACGCGCCGTACGCTCGGGTCTGTTTCTGGTCGGACGGGGAGCCACCCATGCTCGCCGTCCGCAGGCCCGCGCTTACGGTGGCCGGAGATCGTCCCGCGATCCCCGACGCCCGGTGTGTCCTTCGCGATGGCTGGGTTGCGAGGAGGCAGCGCTTCGCTGCCTCACGCGTCCCGCCTCCTCCTTAGCTAGCATGACTGCTTCGCAAAAGGAGGAGACGGCATCCCAGTCCCCCTCGCTCCGCATCATGGCCTGCACTAGGCCCGGACGCGAGAGGTCGCCATCGCCGATCACTTCCCTGAGGGCACGGCGGTGCTCAGCCCACGCAGGGCATTCTCCCACTGTGTGTTCCACCGTGTCCTCAGGGCGGTCCTCGCAGTGATGACACCCGGGCGTTTCCTCCCGCCCCATCAGACACAGGTACCTCCCGAAACTTCCATGTCCGGTGAGGACCTGCGTCAGGCGGTAGGTGAGGACGCCGTAGCGTCTCTCAAGCCACTCCTCAAAGAGGGGACTTACCGCTGCAATGGCAGCGAGCCCAACTTCCGGACACTTGAATCGAGCCACATTACATTCCCAGGCCTAAAAGCCCATTACACAAAATATATGCAATATAACAAAAAAGTTTTTGTGCATTTTTAATGCTGGCATATTTCATCGTCTTTCCCGTATGTATTCTTCCAAGTTTGAATTTAAGATTTTAAAATAATGAACAAAAGCCGAGCTTGGTCACTGATTTGAAAAAAATAATGGCTGTAGAAAGTTACTTTTGAAGCAATTTAATTTCGATTTTGTTTGAATTTTCGCTATTTTTGCTAACCAAAGTTTAGTTTAGTTTTGTTTCTTCAATCATCGCTTTTGGCTATAAAATTATGGATATTTCACCTGAAGTAGCCGCGCAAGCTGTAGCACTTCTTCAATCTGGGCTAAGTCAGCGAGATGTGAGTTCACAACTTCTCATAAGTCGTTCCGCTGTCCAAAGAGTGTACCATCGATACCTGGAAACTGGCGGCTTCGTTCGGTGAACAGGAGGACCTCGTTACCGGGTGACAACGGCGAGACTAGATCAATACATAGTCACTACCAGCTTACGCAATCGACGCCTTACCTCTGTTCAAATACAAGAACAGCTCAGGGACACGGAGTGGCTGTAAGTGCTCGGACCGTTAGAAGGCGACTCAATGAACGTGGTTTAAAGCCCCATAAGCCAGCCAATGGACCCAAATTGACACGAGCACACCGAATAGCCCGTTTAGAGTTTGCGCGCGAACATCTAAATTGGACTCGACATTAATGGAGCCAGGTTCTCTTCACAGATGAGTCCAAGATAATGCTATACGGTAATGACGGAAGGAGTAAGGTGTACCGAAGAGAGAACGAGCGTTTCGCTCAATGTTGTATTGACGAAAGAGTGAGTTATGGTGGAGGATCATGGACTGTCTGGGGAGGAATCTCTATGGAAGGCAAAACTGAGCTAGAGGTAGTAACGGGACCACGGCTGCCGCCCCTAGATGGCAATAGATACATTCGGCAATGTTTAGAGAACCACGTGATGCCATATGCTGCATTTATTGGCCAAGATTTCGTTTTAATGCATGATAATGCAAGGGCCCATACTGCGGGAATCGTCAGGCAGTACTTAAATGACATTGGTATCACTGTTATGAGATGGCCAGCGCGAAGTCCTAATATGAATCCTATAGAGCATCTATGGGATGAGCTGAAGAGGCGTATTCGAGCTCATCATCCTGCCCCGCAAACCACGGAGGAGCTCAAAAAATGTAGTTTTGGAAGAATGGGAGGACATTCCTCAACATGTCATAACGACATTGATTAATTCTATGCCAAACCGTATGAGAGCTGTCATAAATGCACGGGGAGGCAATACAAGTTACTATATAAATAAACATTTCTTTTCATTTAAAACATTTTTTTATTTAAAAATCGATTAGATTTTTTTCTTTGAAAAAAGCAAATATGGACTTGTTTCAACGTAAGTCGACTTTTTTAATAAATTTTTGACTTTTTTAATGACTTTTTTAACGAATTTTGTAGTTCAAATTTAGAACAGTGGCACTCTAAATGAATGTTGAATAAACCAGCTCCAAAACTGCATCAAAACATTTTCCTTCTACATAGATTTTTTACAAGTTACCGTACTCCAAACCAAAAAAATCAAGGTGGCTCGATTTAGGTGTCCGGAAGTGTATTTTCAATATGCAGAATTTACACATAACAGTTTTATTATATGTATAGATTTGCATTATTTTTGTGATACAATTCCAGAAACGTAAAGGGGTGAAATAGGGTTGAGACATTTCGTAGGTTGTCCTCAAAGTGAGTAATCCATGCGAGCGAAACTGCGGGCATCAGTTAGTTCGGAATATGTATAATGTTCCTATGTGGTACATATATGATCAGGTGAAAAAACGGAGGAGGTTCTTTAGTCTCCGAGTACATATTTTTTATTGACTCACGCAAATAATCACGCATACTACCTTACTGGATTAAATATGGTATTTTTCCGTTATAAATATTTAATCTACCGTAAGTAGGTAGGTAAATTAAATATTTATAGCAGACACACATAAACTCTGCTGAACTATATAGCATTTTTTCAACATGTTTAGCATACTGTTGCTATGGTAGATTGTTTTTTTTGCATATAATCTGCTTACATACTACTTACAAACTGCACAGTGCACACTGCTCCTGCTCACTTATGGTCACACTTAACGTAGTTAAGGTAGCACACTTAACTGGCACGGCTCCAACCCAGCAATTAACTTGTCATTTAAAAACACTACATTATGACATATTTCAAAAGTTGAAAGCGTGTCGCCTGGGCGCTGACAGTACGGTTACAGCTTTTTTCTGTGGTTTCCAAAGCAAAAAACGCTATGCCGTAGTCGTGCCACAGCCATGCCGTTATTGTGTGCGGTGTCCCTTAATTTTAATCACTAGCTTTTTAAACGTAATTTTATTTCATGGCTTTTTACCATATACCTAATTGTTAACTATTACAATTATCCATCTTCGTTATTTTGGAAGAAATATGTTTTACTTAATAAAGTTTTATTCACAGCGCAATTCATTTTTTCTAGGATAGCCCCGCACCGGATGACATAGAGAAATGTCCAACTGTCCACGTGCCTCCCACTGTCGTCTTTACCCATGATGCTACAGATAAAGGCAATACATCAAACTTAGATGTAGCCATTAATATAAGACATATTTCACCTATATATCCAAGAAAGTTGAAGCCAGAAACATTGTATGAAAGACGTCAATGTTTGAATCATAGGTTCGCGAGTCCAAGACTTCTTCACTTGAGTCCGTGTCGTGTTAATCGACCTTCGTCAAGGAATTCGCTGTCATCGAGATTGTCCAGCAGCCACAACTCACTTGTGACTCAATTCCAAGCTGACGATTCCAGTTTCATCACGCAAGCTATCTCGCATGATACTCTGACTGCAAAAACCTCCGACATTACTGATATGTACAATGTTCCGTTCGATAGCGATATTTACGCGGTACCTATTGATATGGTGCGGCCTTGTCAGAGCAACATAAGAAGTAAAGGGAAGAAACCACCTCGAAACAACAAAAAGCGTGGCAAAAATACAAATCAGAATACAGCCCCTAATATCACTGCCACTGACAAAAGTTTTAAGTCAAAGGATACTAACAAAAATAAAGAAGTTAAAACTAAAAGGCACAGCTTGCCAAGTTCATCTTGTAAAAAGAGTACTGGGGATTCGGACACAGATTCATTACATTTAACTTTACGCGAAATGAGGAAATACCTGCATACTCTTTATTCCAGTTCCAGTGATTCAGAATGTAGAGCTACTATTAATAGGAAAAATAATCCTATAGTGAACAATGTTGGTATACATGCGAAACATTTAGGCAAAGAAGCAAGTTCTGCAGTGTTTTTAAAAGAAAGTAACGATATTTCTAGAACAGTTGAAACAAATAATAACCATAGAAAAGCTAATAAAAATTCGTTTGGAATGAACGCCAAAAATAAGAAACATAAAGAAAATATTCCTAAAGAAGTGATTGAAATAGATAAGAGTGAAAAAGTTGTTAAAAAGAGTATTTCAACTCAAAATCAGAAGGTTAAAATGTCGCCAGTAAGAATATTATCGATCAATTTGAAACAGAGCTTTTGTAATTTATTTCGTTGGCGAAGACAACCCGTGGTGGAGAATGCTAGTGATGTTGAGAAGGTGGGTGACAGCAAGGAGGACTCGCCGCCTGCAGCAGTGCGCCGCGCATTACCACCCTTGCCGCAGACACCGCACGTGCACGCAGGACCTCGCCGACCTAACAATGAAGAAGATACTGTCATGGATTTCGCCACTTCTATACAAAAAGTGAAAGATGTAAGACAATTGTTTTTTTTCTCTAGTTGAACGTAAACACTGAAACATCTTTTCTTATTTACTTATCAATATTTTGTGCAATTTTTTCCTACATAAACTAATGTTAATTTATAAAGTCATAAAATGACCTGACAATAACTAGTATTAAAAAGTCTACATTATCAATAAGGTATAGAAAGATGTTCGTTTAGGTCGAAAATGTCTTCTAATGTAAAGAATAATGTGAAAAAATTAACATGAAACTGGTTTTTAATATACAATATAACTTAAGGTTTTGTCTTTCAGTACGGTTGGTATTGGGGCCCGATATCGGTGGAAGCTGCTGAGAAAATTCTCTCAAACGAACCTGATGGCTCGTTTATAGTCCGGGACAGCAGTGATGACCATTATATTTTCACTCTGACGTTTAAGTTGAATGGTCTTAGACATGTAAGGATTGAACATGATCAGGGTAAGAGGAACCTTCATTCGTTATTGATTTTATCAGTAGCTACTATTGTTTTGAAGTGTAAACTGTATAATGCTCATATTGTACCACACATATAGTGGAGTAGACGAAAACGTAAATACTTAAGAATGGGCCCTCAGTTTTGATTCCCAGGTTGAACAAGCAAAATATCTATTTCGATTTCAAAAATCAAATATTTGTCTCATATTAGCCTTGACTTCTGTTATTGTCAATTATTATTTAATTATTATATTATCTGTATATGCGTACCTCAATTTTAGTCCGTTCACTTAGTGTTGTGCATGTTTTATAGAATAGTTTTCTTTCTTTTTCAGGTAATTTCTGTTTTGGTGGCTGCACTATGTTTAAAGCTCAAACCATAGTAGAATTCATAGAGAATGCAGTAGAGACGTCTCGAAGCGGCCGTTATTTGTTCTTCTTGAACCTGAGGCCTGTGCTTGGTCCAGTACGAGTTCAACTGCTATACCCGGTTTCAAGGTTTAAACGTGTGCAGAGTCTTCAGCACATGTGCAGGTGAGCAACTCACTTAATTTTTATAAGCTTTTATTTGACTTTATGTATACTTATTTCAATGCATATCTTGCAACTTGATTTTGAAGCAGGTATCTATAAACAATTGAACTAATATAGGTATTGTATATAAATTTAGTTTTGATGACAATGCAAGTTTGAAAACAATTAATGGTTTTATTTCAGATTTGTGATATTAAAGTACGTGCGTCGAGACCTCATCAGTAACCTACCTCTACCTAGGCGTCTCGTAGACTACCTGAGTGCAACTCACTACTACTCGGAGCTTCTCGCCGATATGTAAGGCCCGCCTACGAAGTAGGTCAACATCACTTTTTCATAACCCCGTGATGTGACAATATTATGCCTATGTATAGCTTTCACTGTTTAGGTATAACATACGAGTACCTACAGATTTTTACAATTTGTTTTAATGAATTTATCTTTATTCGTCTTTATTTATTATTATAAGCGACTGAACATAGGGACACATGAAATCATCAGCGATTTTGACACACTTGTCTGTAGAATTTAGCACATCGTTACATAAAAAACTAAACAAAATTATTTAAATGTTAGAACCGTGTTAATCGAGTTGTTGTTCGTTTTAGAAAAATGTAATATTATTATGTGTGATATTATAACTTATAGCTTATAAAAACAGCAGCCTGCCTTCAAGTATATGTTTATTATAAAATCAGACTTTAGACGGTATTTTAATCAAGCTTTTGTTTTCGAAAACTGTTGAAAAGTTCCTATGGCGATAATAATCTGAACAGAATAGCGATCGACACTGACTAGGCACAGAACATTCTCAACTATAGTCGTCGTATAATAAAAGGTCAACTCTGACATTTGTCAATCTATTTACCGGTGTTATATCCTGTTATGAACTTGCTGGAACGTCCACGTAAAAAATAAATAAATCGAATCATACCATAATCTTATAATCGAATTCATAATATTATTAATTCATTTCCACGTATTCATACACTTGCATTAAGAATATCATTTATACGAATCATAGGACAATGCCCAAAAATTTATGGACCAAAAACTCAGAATCGATTAACATTATCTATATGGCAAGATAGAGTTACATAGTATATTCCAATTCAATAATTGTTTTCGATGAAACCATCACCAAGTAATAAAAAACGTGGTCTCACTTTTTATGATCTTACCGCAGATTTAACAGTCAGGTTATACTGGATCTCTGACAAAATTACATCGTGGTATGATAATTTGGAAAATATTATAGATTTGGGGGTTTGCTTGTAATTCTCATTAATGTGTATAATCTGGAACTAATGTAGAACAAAAAAAAGACAATTATTCACTCTCCCATACAAAATTGTAATGTACTGGCAGGCTGCAGGCTCCTGGCCCGTCGGTTGTTTTGCGCCAAAACTAATAACGTTTATGTAACCTCATCCATGTCCAGGAATGATTTTAGTCGACTTTGTGTCTTTCTTGGGCATTCTCCTTTATCATTTAAATAAACGAATTATTCAGAGATAAAAGGTCCGTTAATAAAATTTCAAATCTTCAGGTCGGTTACCATAGTGATGTCAGTTGTCCGTTTTCAGAGCAATCGTAATTAATATTTTTTTAAATCGTTTTCTTTAATAGTTTTTGTATACTTATGTAATAGAAAATTTAAAGATAAAATATCAATATCGATCGTATATTTTTTGGTTTAATTAAATAATTGTAAGTATCAATCTTTAATATTATCGGTACTGGTTTAGATCTTTGAAAGAACCGCCTTGTCTGATGCCATTGATTCGGGCTATTTCGGACATTCTTGAGATATTGTTGTATGCTTGAGATATTTACAAACCCTAAATATTTTAACTCGATATGACTCAGGAATCTGTCATAAACAACAACCGATCTTATTTTATGAGGACTATTAAAGTTCCCACTGAATACGTTTTATTCTTATAACCGCTGTAGTTAAACGTCTTGTATTAATGAACACAGGATGGTCATGAAATGAATGCTCAACGTGTCGTATGAGGACAGTAGCACCAAAAATATAGAATCATCTGATAGAGAATAACAAAACAAAGACACCTAAGCAACGATTAGAAATATCGATACAAAATGTAAATCGTGAGTGAGACGAATTCGCGAAAATGACGGAGACTATGAATAGATTAAAAAAACGTACAAATATTATTGGATATAAACAATTCTAAATATTTTAAATACATATTCTATTGTACTGTTATATTGCTTTGAAGTCGTGATCGTGGTTACTTATGCGATTGACTTTTAACTGTTTACGCTTAAATTGAATAACAAGAATGAATTAATTGAGTAACAAGAATGAGTTAGGCGACAAGCATCGTAAAACACCCGAATTTTTGGGTCGCTATTATGTATCGCTGTGTTTATTAAGGTGTGTAATTAATAATTCTAAATAATCGTAACATAGTGGGTATTTCTATTTGTGAAACTATTGCTAATTTCAGTCCGGTGTCTAAACTAGATTTACGGCCGCGGCATTGTCGTTATCAAAAGAGCCCGCTTGTAAGTATTTTATTTTCTGAAGGAGGTTATATTGGTCTAAATTCGGTATTGATTGTCTCTTAGCTAGATAATTCTGATATTAAAGTAATCAATTTTAGGTACAGCCCAATTATGCACCAGTAACATTCTCTGTGATACGTAATCAATACGTGTAATCAGCTTTTGGTAAAGACGTAAAATACACGTATGAGATCTGCTCTTAAACTAACACTTATTGATTTTTATTTTATTCTGAAGTGACCTTCGCGCTGCAGCAGGTCTTATTATTAAAGATATACATAGACGAAGTAAATAAAACATTCTAAAATTCAAATCTGTATTTTTGGGTACAAGTGGGCTGTAACATACTTATAAAACTAGCATTAATTGGTATAGCGTATGTTTTACAACTTGTATAAGGAACAAGGTTGTATAGAAAGAGTATTTAAATAACTACCTGCGAGGAGATAATTTCTCTGATTGAGGTTGATTGAGAATCCGGCCACCGTGCAGCAGGGTTGTGACATAAACTATGTCCAGCTGAGGTATGTGTAGAAATTGTATCAACTACATTTTGTCACGTAGGTATATTGTAGTTATGCATTGTAGACCCTGCTTCAATGTTGTGGCCTGTACTTACCTATCGCCCCTTTATTTCAAGGGCAATACGGCTATGATCATTTATATAGTGTGATTGGCTTAACAAAACGTAAACTACTGGCGCCGTAATTACGTATCTCTCTTCAAGGAATCTGTAGAATTATCTCTTTTTATGAAAGGAAATTTATAAGTGCCTCTGCATTTTACACCAATTAATATAATAGCTGTAAACCCTAAAAAATAACTCTTATTTTTGTAAAGAACAGAATTTTCACGATTGCTAATTAGGTAGAAATGGATTATCGCTTAAACACTGTTGCTCAGTAACATTCAGAATAACCACAATTGCCTATGTGGGTGACACGATGGTCACGAAGTTAGTGGAATCAATTTCCTCCTTCTGTGTATAAAGTGTAGCATCAGAACACAAAACTGTAGGTTTTATAGACAATGCCACAATGACGGCGGTGTTGTTAGCCTGTAATTATTGGTTAGTACTTGACGTAATTATAGAAAGCTGTGTGGCTACTTGATTATCTAAATTATCTACATAAAGTCTGTTAAATTAACTTAAATACTTATTTACAATACTGATATTAATATTAACTAATTTATTTATGTCATCTGTAACGAACTAACTCGCTGTGTATGAAATCATATTGTTTTAAGCTTTAGCTAATTGATAATTTTGCAATAATGAAAGGCAAAAATAATATGTGAACTTCATGAAGTCTTAATAATGTAATTAATTTCAGAGTATTTCGTGTTTTTGTTTTGTTCAGTATCTTATTATTTTTTTGTTATTGTTATAATATCATGAATTGGAAAGTTTTATACTCATGAATAAAAGTCCAAATTCGGGATTTCGCAGACTCAAAGCATGCTTTAACACCAAACGTTATAGCGTGACTAACTGCGGCCAAAATGTTTATTTCAATGTATTAATTAAACAATGAATTATTTAATTTATACTTAGTAAAGTAGCATTATGTACATAATATCATTTTAGAAACTAAGTTTAAGATTATTTTTTGTATCATGAAATGGATCTGTATAAAATTGATCATAAGCAATTTGTTTATTTTTGTGTATGATTATTGTTTATTATTTATATGGTTTACTTAATTTTAACGTAATATTTAATTGTTAAATTTATGTCAAGTCACCAAAGATGTTAAGTATTGTATGTTAAAAGACGTAGATCAACTTGCAAGGTTCTACCCTAACAATTTCGCTCAAGGGTTAATTTTCTTTGGCACGTTGTTACAAGTACCCTTACGAAAATCTTATACTCCTCCTGATAGTGGAAATGAGTGTTACAATGTCTTTGCATGCGGGTTCCAGGAATACCAGGTGGATATTGACCTAGCCGACCTGCAGTGTAGTGTGAAACAATTTAAATAGTTTAGATAATGTCTAGTTAAGCAAGGAATACATGTTACTATGTTAACACTCATTTATTCCAAATTAAATTTATGTTATTTATTTCCATAATCATACTGAAATCATCGCCGTCAAATAAATTAACTTGTATGCCTTCATATACCACCGTGACAATTATATTATAAGATTAAAGTTAAGGTGTTACAAAAAAATAAACATATCACAAAGTAATTTTTAAAAGTATTACTTACACAATAAATTATAACTTATAACGTAAATAATACTGTACGCCTGCATTATTATATTACTCAAATAATAATATAAAAATGTATTTTCGTTTTATGATATAATTAACACATTAGATTAACATTAAAGTAAATTTTAATAATAGTATCTAATCAATCAATTACACCAATCTAGAGACTAGTCTACTAAGTACTTTAATGGTATTTTCTACTCTGGGTGCATTCAATTCTTTAAAAATAAATAAAATGTAACATTTATAATCAAAATTAGGTGTATCATTGTGATTATTAATCATTTTATAATAATAAGCACGATGTACCATAATTTATACGATTCGGGATTGCGGCTTATATGACTTATCAATATTAAGTAAATATGAAGTATTTTGACATAACTTAATAAAATAATTTTTATTTTTCTTTGAATATATCCCTATCTTCTTCTTTGAATCATCGTGTGAATAAAATGTTCTAGGAGTATCTATAAACAACAAAGAACAATGTTTGTGGTTGTTGCCAGACTTGACGATTAAACGTTATTATATTAAAGCAGGTCATA